AAAGTAGGATGTTAGGAGAACAAAAATCTAAGTGTGAAAACAAAAACCAAATATAGGGAAGGAAAGTCCTAATACCTAGCAAAAGGAATTGGCTAGACCTGGGGATAGAAAAGGAACAGAAATGAGGAGGATGGCAGGTGGAAAGCTTACAGTGGGAATCATCAGAGAAGCTGAGCACTGGAGGCTTACCCGATGCAGAAAAGGATATGGTGGCCGGAAGGGATGCTGCAGTCCCCAACAAAAAAGCCCAGGCAGCTGAGTCTTATAAGTCAGTTCTAAGGAAAGTGGACTTGGGTGAAAAACCACTAACCTAGGGCACTTCCTGGACGTCACTAGACCAGCGAAAGCACAAGTTCCAGAAACTCAAAGCAGCTCAAGGATCCACTGAGGGTATTTCTCCAGGAGACAAATGTGAAAACTCCTAAGCAGAAAGTAGCACTCAGAGGCAAGGCATGCAATAATAAGAACGCCAGAAGCTCAGAACTAAAACAATTTTCAGAATCTTTCTGGGGACAGAGAAATTTAGAGAGAAAAGCAGGAAACTGGGACAGTGAAGGAGGCATGCAAGATGACGCAATTCTCTTGAAGAATTTCCTACTACTCCTCTCACTATAATGTGGGGTATCCTGCCCACAAAGCAAGGAGGCTCTTTCACTAGAGATAAAGATCTTCAGCAATGGTGAACGGTGGATAGAAACAGGGCTTGAAGGAGAAATGAAAATGAGAAGGTTCTAAATCCTTGGGATGGGCACCAAGAAAGACCCAGAACCACCATGGCAAAGTTCTAAAATTTTCAAGGGAAGAGAATTTCCCTCCCCACAAAACATATGGCAAGACTAGTGAGAGACAGAACCCAGTAACCTTATGAGAAGAGAGCACCTCCCAAACTAAGTTCAAATTCACAGGTGGTAGACTCCAAATTGCTTGGTGATCTAGAGAGGCTGAACTATCACATGCAAGATTATACTTACCATTGGTAATTCAGGATCCATGTTGTAAAGGAGAAGATAACTGTGGACTTACTTTCTAAATTTGACACCATGGGACCCTGACTGATACTCAAGCTACAGTTTAGATCCCATCTCCTACCACTTTCTCCAGCTCACTCTGCTCCAGCCATACTGACTTCCTTGATATTCCTAAAACATGCCAAGGACATGCCTCTTGCAAGACCTTGCCACTTGGTGTCCTCCCTGTGCATGGCTTACTCCCTCACTTCCTCCAGATCTGTGCTTAAATGTCACTTTATAATAGAGACCTTCCTGAAGACATGAACAGACATTTCTCCAAAGAAGACATACAAATGGCCAACAGACACGTGAAAAAATGCTCAACATCACTCAGCATCAGGGAAATACAAATCAAAACCACAATGAGAAACCACCTCACACCAGTTAGAATGGCTAAAATTAACAAGTCAGAAACAACAGATGTTGTCGAGGATACAGAGGAAGGGGAACCCACTTACACAGCTGATGGGAAAGCAAGCTGGTACAGCTACTGTTGAACATGGTATGGAGGTTCTTCAAAAAGTTAAAAATAGAGCTATCCTAAAAAAAAAAAAAAAAAAATAGAGCTACCCTATGACCCAGCAATTGCACTAGTAGGTATTTACCCAAAGGATACAAATATACTGACCCAAAGGGGCACCTGCACCCCAATGTTTACAGCAGCAATGTCCATAATAGGCAAACTATGGAAAGAGCCCAGATGTCCATCGACAGATGAATGGATAAAGGAGATGTGGCATACACACACACACACACACACACACACACACACTGGGATATTACTCAGCCATCAAAAAAAGGAATCCTCTGTGACGATATGGATGGAACTAGAGGGTATCAGGGTAAGGTAAATAAGTCAATCAGAGAAAGACAATTATCATATGATCTCACTGATATGTGGAATTTAAGAAACAGAACAGAGGATCATAGGAGAAGGGAGAGAAAAATAAAGTAAGATGAAATCAGAAGGGAGACAAACCATAAGAGACTTTTAACTCTAGGAAACAAACTGAGGGTTGCTGGAAGGGAGGGGGTTTGGGGGGAGATGGGTAACTGGATGATGGGCATTAAGGAGGGCACATGATGTAATGAGCATGGGTGTTAAATGCAACTGATGAATCACTAAATTCTACCTCTGAAACTAATAATACAGTATATGTTAATTAAATGAATTTAAATAAAAATAAAATATAAATAAATATATTTTATATATAATGAACATATATGTATTTATACATATAGAGGCCTAAATATAATAAATATATATACATTACATGTATAAGATATATATAAAATAGAGGCCTTCCCTGACCATCAGTTGTCACTCCCTTTGCCATGCTTTCTTCCCCACCTAACATGGGATTTATTTCCTTACTTGTTTATCTCTCTCTCCACCATGACCCCTGAACAATTCCAACACCATGTCACCTGGGATTGTTTTACTGCTGCCACAATGTCAGCTATTAGAACCTGCTTGACACAGACTAGAAAAGAAATAAACATTTATTCAATGAATGCATTTATGCATCCATGTCATTTGAAGTTTTTGCTCATGGTCCACAATTGACAAAAGCAAGGTGGGTCTGGACTGACTGTGCACTGGATTCTGAGAATATAATTTTGCTTTTTCCTTTTGCATAACTAATTGGTGAGAAGCAGCAGAAGTGCATTAAGAATGAGGGCCATGGAGCCAGGGTCAAATCACCCTGTGTTCAAATCACTGGGTGTGTGATCCTGGACAAATTGTTTAATTTCTCTGTGCCTCATGATCTTTGTCTATAAAATGGGAACAATGGCAATGCTTTCCTCAGAAGGTTTGGTAGGTCTGAGTTGATCCAAAGAGGACACATTGTTTTGTTTTTGTTTTGTTTTTTGTTTTATTTTGTTTTTTGGTTTTTGCTCACTGCAATTTTTTTCTTTCTTTTTTCTTTTTTAAAGTTTTTATTTAAATTCCAGTTAGTTAACATACAGTGTGATATTAGTTTCAGGCATACAATACGGTGATTCAACAGTCCCATACATCACCCAGTGCTCATCACAACAAGTGCTCTCCTTCATCCCCATCACCTGTTTAACCCACCCCCCACCCACCTCCCTTCTAGTAACCATCAGTTTGCTCTCTATAGTTAAGTCTGTTTCTTGATTTGTCTCTCTCTCTCTTTTCTCCCTTTGCTCATTTGTCTCTTAAATCCCACATATGAGTGAAATCATATGGTATTTGTCTTTCTCTTACTGACTTATTTCTTTTTGTATTATACTCTCTAGCTCCATCCATGTTGTTGCAAATGGCAAGATTTCATTCATTTTTATTCAATTTTATAAATTCCAATATATATAGAGAGAGAGACAGAGAGACAGAGAGAGAGAGAGAGGGAGAGAAGGTGTGATATACATATGTGATATATGTGATTATGTGATATACATATATATATATATATATATATCACACCTTCTTTATCCATTCATCAATGACAGACACTTGGGCTACTTCCATAATTTGACTATTGTAAATAATGCTATAAACATTGGGGTGCATGTATCCCTTTGAATCAGTGTTCTTGCATTCTTTGGGGAAATACCCAGTAGTGCGATTGCTGGATTGCAGGGTAGTTCTACTTTTAACTTTCTGAGGAACCTCCAAACTGTTCTTTGAACTGACTGTACTAGTTTGCATTCCCACCAGCAGTGCAAGAGGGTTCCCCCTTCTCTACATCTTCTCTAACACCTGTTGTTTCTTGTGTTGTTGATTTTAGCTATTCTGACAATATGAGGTGGTATGTCACTGTGGTTTTGATTTGCATTTCCTGATGATGAGTGATGGTGAACATCTTTCAATGTGTCTGTTGGCCATCTGCATGTCTTCTTTGGAAAAATGTCTGTCCATGTCCCCTGCCCATTTTTTAATTGGTTTATTTGGTTTTGGGGTATTGAGTTTTATAAAATGTTTCATATATTTTGGATACTAACCCAAAGAGGGCACTTTAAACAGTGCCTGGCACATACTTAGTACTCAATAAACATAGCTATTATTGTCATCATCATTACTATGTGCTGGAAACTATTCTAAACATTTTACTTGTATTATGTCCTGTAAAGATCAGTCAGAAGGTAACTGAGGCCCGGGAGCCAAGAAGAACATAGCTAATTTGTTGGCTCTTTTTAAAAAATGGAGGTGAAGTTCACACAACATAAAATTAACCACTTTTGAGTGTATGCTTGAGGGACGTTTCTTAAGTTCACGGTGTTGGGCAACCATTACATAATTTGCTTTATTTTTTCTCAGAACAGTGGTGAATACGGGAGAGAAGAATCAGGAAGACAGGAGCAGAACCTAACTTATTCAACTGCCTTCCTTCAAAGGTGGCAGCCCCTCCACCTGGTTGCCCATAAATTTGTCTGTTAAATCCAGTGGATTAGAGAACAAAAAAATTCTATGTCCCTTCCTACTAGAGAGAGCTGTGGACTTGGCACAGCTGGCCTCGAGCTGTTTTCTTCACAAGGCCAGATGGCCTTTCTAGGAAGTCTGACCTTCATGAGGCCACTGTTCTCTGTGTCAGGTTCATGTGCTCAGACATGTTCCAGTCATAAGGCCTCCCTGTCTCAACCAGGGCCAGCACAGTGCGGCTCACGTTACTGATCTCCAGGAATTTGGTTCTCGTTGTTCATAATGACTACCCTGGGGGCTCAGCCATCTTAAACCGGGGGTAAGAGATAGGAAGCCTTACAGTATTTTCAATCCATCACCATCAGGAAGCCCTAAATGAAACAGTCCATTCTTGGTCTCTACCTGCTGTGAGCAAGAACCCCTATGGGGAAGGGGAGGGGTGGTAAGATTCAGGCCCCCAAAGCCCAGAGAAAGGTCGGTAGTCATTAGAACTAGAACACACGTCTCTTGACTCCCAGATTAGCATTCTTTATGCTCCCCGACATTGTGCGGTTCACATATTTCACATGTCCTGAGACACAAAACGGAGGGACACGTACACCCACCTGCTGGTGCCACTGTCATCGTTATTTGCACTGAGTGCTGCTCAGAAGATCCCAGGACAGTGACATTCACTGTGTAATCAGTTGCTGGGTGCAGGTCTAAACACACCACTGGAGCTCGTTCCCTTGTTGTAAAGTTAAATGATGTTGCATGATAAAAATTATTCAGATACCACCTTTGACCCAGAACTTTAAACTGTCATGAGATTAAAAGAAAGGGTTGCATTAAATTTTCTGTTGGCTTGCAGAGATCTAGACTATAAGCAAAACAGAGATAAAGCAAGAAGGTTCATTCTGCTAGAATTGTTTTTAATACAATAGCAAGCTAAACTGGGGATGGACTTTACAAACCTACTCTCCCTATCCTATTCAACGTCCCCCTCCACCAGCTACAGGACAAAGCTTAAAATGCATAACTGCATCTCCAGGGAACAAAATGTAGGCTATTCTAAGACAACGATGTCCTCCCAGGTAAAGAAGATGGCACTGGCGCTATTGGGCAAATCCTTTTAATTTCTTTTCATTCATAAAGGATCCATTGATATGCCTCATGAAACAGAATTTTTGAACTTTATGAGGATTCCTCCCAATTATGCATTCAAAGCAACTGTGCAAGGGTACACTTCACTTGGTCCTTCCTATTAGAGCTCCGGTAAAAGAGTTTTTGGTCCATGGATTCATCATGCACGCTGTTAGCCTTTAATGCTCTATCCACTGCCAAACCAAGATGCATGTATAATATAGGGACTTATAAGGGAAAAAATATGTGAAGGTCCCAGAAGTAATATGCTCAACCCCTGATTGATCTGTGTGCTACAGCTGGGCATTTTGTGTTTAGCGTTTCCTTTGATGCTCACGTCATTGGCTATGACCACCCTCCATCCTTCCTCATCACTGCCATTCTTCCACAGTCACTCAAGACCCTGACATCTGGCTCACTGGGAGTTTCCCCTCTCCCCCAATTCCTAGCATTCTCTTGGGGAACGTAAAGGTCCTTATAGACAAGCCATCAAAACTTGGCCTCAGAGATCCTTGAGCTCAATGCTATGAAGTTCCTCCGCTCCACTTTAGCTACTCATATCCACAGCCACATCCCAGGCTGCATCATTCTCAGAGCTGCTCCAAGATCTCACAATCTCCTATCCCTCTGCCCCACTCATCCATTGTGCCTGATCTCTCTCAAGAAACCCCCAAGATTTAACATAAGAATAAAAAAAAAAAAAGAAAGAAACCCCCAAGATTTCCTCACTCGAGATCTTCTACCCATATTCTACCACCCCCATCCTCGTCTTCCCCAGCTCTCTCAGGTACCCTATCACTTCAATTATTCTCTTGCCTGAGACCCTCAACGCCCTTAACCCTCTGTTCTCAATTTCACCCATTCTGGAAAAACCGAAACACACTGGGTCAATCCAGATATTTGGCTTCACCAGTTCTACATTTAGGCTGCTGCCATCTGCTGGAAAAGACCTCACAACTATGTAGGCTGCGTTTCTACAAACTCAGTCTCATCCTAAACTCCACGTGGTTTAGTCTACAAACAAAAAATGACTTTCTGGTTACAAACACTGTATGCACAAATTTATAGTAAAGTTATTTTATTTAAAAATATAGTGTGAAGGTTTTTTTCTCTGTCATTAATTGGTTCTATAAATAAGTATACAGAGTATACAGTGCTGGGTACACAGTGGCAATTAAGGTGCAGGCCTAACCTCAAGGAGCTCACCGATGAGTATCCAGGCAAACAAAATACCCAGGGATAAGTCCTAGAATACATGAGGCAGCAGGAGCACTCAGGAAGGACACCTAACCCTCCTCCTTGGGGATCAGGAAAAGCTTGCCTATCTAAATTTGGACCCGAGGAGAAATTAGCATTAAGCAGGTGAGTTGCAGACAGGAAAAATAATTCAGACAGCAGGAACGATGTTTGGGACAGAAGGTCAGTGAAGCCTTCCTACCAGGGGAGATGACTGCGCTGAGCTTTGTGGATAAACAGGAGGCAGCCAGATAGGGTAAAGGAAGGAAGGGCATTGCTGGTAGGAGAGTCACATATGTGAAGACACAGTGCGAAAAAGAACACAAAAAGTTAATCAGGGAGTATGGGCCTTGAGCTTATAAAACAGATGAGACCTGGAGAAACAGATTTAGGACTTACCAGCATAGAGACAGTGAAGGAAGCAAAGAGGGATACAGAATGACAAGAGAAGGGGCAATGTACAACCTTGAAGGTATTCAGATTTAAGGGACGGGCAGAGGAAGGGAATCCTAGGAAGGAGAAATAGAGTGGGGTCAAAATAATAGGAGAGGGGCGCCTGGTGCAGTCGGTTAAGTGTCCGACTCTTGATTTCAGCTCAGGTCATGATCTCAGGGTTGTGAGACTGAGTCCACACGCCTAGCGTGGAGCCTGCTTAAGATTCTCTCTCTCTCCCTCTTCCTCTGCCCCTCCCTCCACCTTGCACATGTGCTCTCTCTCAAACAAAAAAAACAGTACTCTATGCTTATAGAAGAATCATGGTATCTTGTGGTTTAATTTTTTTTCTTCTTCTTTTTTTTACTAGTGAGGTATAACGTGTTCATATGTGTTTTGGAGATTATACATATATAATCTCATATATATATATATATGTAAGTCCTGGATCTACAACTTAACTGCATGACACACGTATATATATATTTATCCTCTTTTGCAAACTGCCTCTGAATATTCACGTTTTACAATGGATCTGTTGAGAGTATTTTACATGTTACTTAATGTTACTTTATGAATCTTTAACATATTAAAAAACAACTTTTTCCCCCAACTTAACTCTTTAATCATTTTAGTGTAAATGCAAAGAATCATTTATTTTCTCAACGAAGTAGCTAACCAATTGTCCCAGGACCATTTATTTTCACACCAATTTTTAAAAATCATCTAAACTTTATCTGGGTACCTGAATATGTTTCTAGCCCCTGTGTTCCTTCTAAATATGAAAATTTGAATATTTGGCTCACCTGCTTAAAATCCTTCAGTGGCTCCACAGAGACATTAAAAATAAGATCGGAACTCAAAATTATAGGGCTTTTCATGATCTAGTCACTGCTCAGGTTTTTGCCTCATCTCTTCCCATTCTCCCTTGCTTTCTTTGTTCCCTAACAGAACCACGTTCCCTAATATTCAAGATGCTTCTCTACTTGCCCACAGTGCCCTTCTTCACCTTCACCTCACATCTTTAATCTGGTTGAGTCCCACTCATTCTCTACGATTTAGCACAGTCTTTGCTTCTTGTTAAAAACAAACAAACAAAAAACAAAACCCTACCTGGACATACACACATGCACACAATCCCCCATTTATTTACCTTTTATCAAAGCACTCATTATACCACACTGTCGTTTACTTGTGTATTTACATTAGTGTGAATTGAAAGTTACAGGTCCTGATACATGATATTCTTTTGGTAAATGGCTAATGAGTGAATGAATGAACTTTAATACTTAGTCTACTCTGCCAAAAGATTTGCAAGGCACTAAAAGTGACACAAAATAACGAATCTCAGTTCCTACCTGAACTTACCAATCATTTTACTTGAGAGGTATGATTTTTAAAAAGTCAAGTTAAATGAGGACCAATAGCCATACAATGAGTTTCTTAAAAATCTATGAGCCAGCGTGAATTTGATGACAGAATAAGCTGCAATTATAAAATGCACTAAAACAAAATATAATACATACATGTGAAATACCAAACAGGGAAACTGATAGCAAGTCACCCACTAGAGTGTCTTCCTCCAATTTAGTCCCCCACTTGGCACCCATCTCACATCCAACTCTAGAGACAAAAATCAAACTGTCCAGAAGTTCATTCCATTAGTGTTTTTAAATACTTTGGATCCTCACCTGGAGAGCCCTCAAATTTTTAAGTGACGTAATACATTAAGAGATAACATGAGAGATCTTCTTACTTGGTACATTTGTTCTGATCCGAGTTTCCTAGGGTGCCTGTTCAGTTTCAAACAAGCTTCACTGAATACTGAAATATTGAAAATTCCATCATCTTCTAAGAGATCATCTTCTAAAAGATAAAACATAGGGAAAGGTTGCACGTCTTAGCAAAACATATCTTGGCTAAGTACAACTGAAACTCTGACATCTTACAAGAGCCAACAGGGTGTTTAACAGCAAGAGCATCCCATCTGCCTACAAGTCCTGGCTCTACAACCTAACTGCATGACCTTAGCTAAGTCACTTAACCCCTCCAATCCTCAGTGTCCTTCTCTGTGAAATCAGGTAATCCGGTTTGCTTTTCTTATATCACAGGCTACTGAGAGAATCAGATAAAATAATTCATATTTAAAAATCACCATAAACTAGGGGCACCTGGGTGGCTCAGTCAGCTAAGCATCTGCCTACAGCTCAGGTCAGGATCCTGGGGTCCTGGAATCGAGCCCCACCATCAGGCTCCCTGCTTGGGGAAGGAGGAGGGAGCCTGCTTTTCCCTCTCCCTCCTGCTCATGCTCTCTCTCACTATCTCTCTCTCAAATAAATAAATAAAATCTTTTTTTAAAAATCACCATAAGGGGCGCCTGAGTGGCTCAGTCGTTAAGTGTCTGCCTTCGGCTCAGGTCATGATCCCAGGGTCCTGGGATCGAGCCCCACATCAGGCTCCCTGCTCTGCGGGAAGCCTGCTTCTCCCTCTCCCACTCTCCCTGCTTGTGTTCCTGCTCTTGCTATCTCTCTGTCAAATAAATAAATAAAATCTTAAAAATAAAAATCACCATAAACTGGAGCACCTGGGTGGCTCAGTTGTTAAGCGTCTGCCTTTGGCTCAGGTCATGATCCCAGGCTCCCTGCTCCGCAGGAAGCCTGCTTCTCCCTCTCCCACTCCCCTGCTTGTGTTCCCTCTCACACTGTCTCTCTCTCTCTGATAAATAAATTAAATCTTTAAAAAAAAATCACTATAAACTAATAAAGCTGTGATATTTTTAGAAAGTTCATCTTATCACTTGGATAGTCCATACATTAAATGTCCTGCAGGTAAGCATGTCAACATCTAAAAAGTCTGAGCATAAGGAAAAGGTGAATGAAAGTCAGAGACCATGGATCAGAACTCTCAGAGTGGGTGGTGTTTCCAACCTAGAAGATGAACAGAGAGGAGATGACCAGGCAAGATGTTTGCTTCACAGCAGACAGTATTTCAAGAGCTACTCAGATAACGACGAAGGCAGTAAAATAATCAGAGAGGAGTCTTATTTCAACAAAAAAGACCATTTCACTCCTCCTGCAGTCTGATTTATTCCTTCCATGGTCTATTTTCTTCATGTAGTCATGAAGAAAGAAGAGGTTTGTTACTAATGAGTAAAAAACTCCCAGAGTGTCCAGGAATACCACAGCTAATTTTCAAGGAAGAGCAACTTTCCCAACAAGCCGGTACATTTTCTACAAATGAGAAAAAGTTTAAACAAAACTTTTTATAACTACCTGGAAAACTATATTTCTCCCATGGGAGCCTGCTCCCTAAGAAGGAAGAAGAACAGGGTGCCTGGGTGGCTCAGTCGGTTAAGTGACTGCCTTCGGCTCAGGTCATGATCCTGGAGTCCCTGGATCGAGTCCCGCATCGGGCTCCCTGCTCGGCGGGGAGTCTGCTTCTCCCTCTGACCCTCCCCGCTCTCATGTGCTCTCTCTCTCTCTCATTCTGTCTCAAATAAATAAATAAAATCTTTAAAAAAAAAAAAAAAGAAGAAAGAAGAACAACAAATTATTCTATTCAAAATCAAAACTGCCCACAGCATATTACATGTCACTCACACATGCAACACGAGGCGATTAGCTGGGGGAATAATTGGAAAATGTAAAGAAAAATACGGTTACGAGAGAGAACTTGAGGACCTATCACATGCATTCCCCTTTATCTTCACAGCTTTTAAAGATTTCGTCAAGACATCAGAAATGAAAATTGCTACGTGTTTGCATATAATTTTGAGGCACACCAAATATAATATATAAGAAATACCACACGCAGAATGTCTGTTCACAAACAGAACACAAAGCAGAAATACTGTTGGCACAGCTCCCATCTCAGGAACTGGCTCACTCACAGCCACGAGAGTCTGAACTCAGGGGGAAGATGGGGACGTGAACAAGAGCATCTGGTTCCCACTTCCCACCCCCAATCCTGACAGAAGTGGCGGAGAATAGGAAAAAGGGGTCACAATTTGCATCTGGGTTGGAAGGAAGGGTTGGTTGACATACACAAGCCATCAACATGAAGACGTTTCTGCTTAGCACCGTGTGGAGGAGACCAGACAAAAGAAAAGATGCTGAGAGCTACAATGTACAACGTGCCCCCAAGCAAAGAAGCCTGGTCTCAATGTCTTCTAGGAAGGAACTGGGGAAGGACTGGGGCCCACAGAGGTGGGGCCTAGAAGTGAGGAGGGCAACAGGACAAATAAGTGATGGATGCTCCATCTGGAACAATTTAGCCTGGTCGTTCCTGTATTTTGACAGGCAGCCAGGGTAAAAACTATATATACTACTATGACTACTACTAGTAGTAATAATAATAATAGTCCTTCCTTAGCATACTGGAGATCAGTAACATGGAAGGACTTCTATGGGGAGGTCTAGAGACCTGGAGGTTCCACCTGACAGAGAACCTGGGTGGGCAGAAGGAGGGACTTGGTTCTCTCCTGCCTCTGTAGACCATAGCATCATAATGAAGTCCGACAACACAATGCTGACTGAGAGCAACAGTTTCACAAATCAAGACAGCCAAGTGCTGAGGGGCACCTAGGTGGCTCGGTCAGTTAAGCGTGGGACTCTTGGTTTCAGCTCGGGTCATGATCTCATGGGTGGTGAGATCCAGCACCACCACCCTCACCCCCCAGCCTTTACCCCTCCCCCCACCCCCACAGGTTCTGTGCTCAGTGGCGAGTCTGCTTGAAGATTCTCTCCCTCTGCCCCTGCCCGCTTCTCTCTCGCTCTCTCTCAAATAAGTAAATCTTAAAAAAAAAAAAAAAAGATAGCAAAAGTGCTCAGAAATAGGGGCGCCTGGGTGGGTCAGTCAGTTAAGTGTCTGACTCTTGATCTCAACTCAGGTCTTGATCTCAGGGTCATGAGTTCAAGCTGTGCTGGGCTCCATGCTGGGTGTGGAACCTACTTTAAAAAAAAAAAAAAAGGGCTCAGAAATAAAGCTCAGGGCATTGGCTTTCTCACAGCTAGCTGCTCC